GAAAAAACCCAGAAAACTAGGACAGATTTTTAAGAAACTCTACAGAAATCAAGTTCGCGGCTTTTATAGTAGCTGATTAATTAAACATCCAGAAAAAAAAGGTTCAAATAAGAAATGGTTTTGAGTGTGAATAATTGAAAAATTCAAACAATTGATGCTTAGGTCTTATGCTGATGCATTAAAAAGGTGTTTACGTGTAATTGATAAATACGTAGAGTTGAAGAAACGAAAAAAACAAACAGAAGGAAAGTGTGTGTGAATAATCAACAGAACAGTATTTGGGCACCTCCCAACTTAATTTTCTCAGACGACGAGTTCATCCAAATTAAAAAAAAAAAATCCGGCTGCTATCAGTTATCGCAAAAATTCAGGAATTCGATATTTCATGAATTTTTTCCAATTATATTAGGAAACCAGGAATTCCCTAACTTTACGAAGTAAAGCTCTGGTGTCACCCGGATACCTCCAAAGAAATAAATTATGAACTCAATTTCTTAAATACCGGCACTGATCCACATCCGGTACACACCTATAACTTCAAGTCTATCATCATCAGATTTTACTAACGGTCAGCAAATTCAGGGTCTCTGCAGAGGAACTTAATAAGTGCTGGAATTCTGGATACTATGAATTATTCATCTAACTTTGAACAAAAAAAAAAAATACAGAGTTACAGACACTACTGCGAAAATCGGGTATCGAGGCTGTTTCGAGCAAAATTGAGATTTATGTGATAAACTTCCGCCACCACTTCACACAAACTGCATTCATATTTCAAATAAAAATGGGCACTAAGATTAATTCAATCCAAAACCTCAACGAGATTGAATACCATGAAATTAGTAATTATTATCACAAATAATAATTAGCCAACACTGCGGAGAGTGAGGTGAAGAGACTCCATGGTGCGCCTGCACAGCATCACATGGATTCGGAGAGTGCAACATCGAGTTGAATGGAGAAATTGCCAACTGCATCGATGGAGTGGCAACGAATGTCGATAACATACAGCTGCTCAAGTAAGTATCACCGATAATAATAGTAATAATAATAATAATAATAATAATA